ACGACAAAGAGAACATGGCCTAAATATTTCATTATTTCTCCTAAATTCTTTTTCTTTTCTCTTTTTTTTTTTTTTGGAGTTTTTTTCTTTTAGTGGAAATATAAAGAGACCAGTATACCTTTTCAAAAATAGTCAATTGAAGGTCAAGTGCTGCATATGTAGTCACGTGACAAAATATAGGTGGTGACTGTCTAATGATCCTCGTGCTGCATATTATTTGCAAACATTTGAGGTGGCGGTGCAGGTTTGAGAGCCTGAGTGCAAATCTTTCAAAAATATATGCAAATTGTATTTTGTATGTATGCAAACTGCAATAAAGTATGACATGTTTTTTTTGGAGATAGAAGAATTTTTACTCTGAATTATTCTACATGTATACATAATGCCCAAGTGATATGTACACCAGAGTGTAAATATCGATGTATATGTAGTAAAACCCTACTTACTCTTAGGTGTAGGAAGTGAATGATTCGATATAGGTAATTTGAAAATTGAACAGAATCAATTTTCATTGAGAAATGTGAAAATTAAGTAATTGATTCTACAAGGAAAAAAACAAACTGAGATCTATTATGATTCAATCTCTAATCGGTTTTTTTTCCTTCAAAAACAAAATTTCAAAGTCTGAATCATTGCATAAATTTTCATATTTCACTTTCATCCTTTATATTTAAACAATAAAACTCTCAATTATACTGAGTACATGAGAGTTTAGCCCTTGTTTGGGCTCCATTAATTTGGTAATACATTTTTCTCTTTATTCTTTTCAACCAAACATTCTCTTATAAATAATATTACGCGTAAATTCAAAAAAATTCTTTCTTTTTTAACTATCTTTTTTTTTTTTTTTTGTGTAAAAAATCACTATTTCAAAATATATTTTTCTCAAAATTCTAATTAAAATGAAATTCAAACAAGAGCTTATATAAATTACTATTTTATTGAGAAATTATGAAGTTTTTTTTTTTTCGAGTACCAGACCAAAATTGTTTGATTCTCAATTTAAAAACTTAATTTAGTCCAATTCTGATCCAGGTCGAATTGTTTTGAGTGAAAATGACAACCATGTTTGATAGGCATTCTA